ACCCAACTACTCTGCTGATCTCAGTTTAAAGTTACTTCATGGTTAGATGATTCTGTCTAAAAGCTTGTTGTGATCTCTCTAATGATTCTATGGCATATTTGTGAAGTAAAGCGCAAGATGTAACTATCTTAGTCGTGTCTCTGCTTTCTGCTGGAATTGGTTCTACAAAAATCTACCTAGTATGTTCATCTGACTATCAGCCGTGGATTTATTTAATGGACTACACTAAAATGAGAAAAGCAAAAATCGGAATGTTTTGACACTTTTAAATGTTAGGATTTATGCGAAATTGTTTAAATAGCTTTTAGTGAATCTTTTTAGTGTATTCATTTATTAATAATATTTTAATCTTTTTATTACTAGCCCTTGAAATTTTAATTGTCTAGAACATCCTAATTTTCTTTAACCACAAAAGTGAATTGGGTTATGTATTAATTAGTCTATAACACATCTACATACTGGTCTTTGGATCATGATTGCAATTATTGGTCTATAACATCTACTTATTGATGTAGCAGCTGTAACACTTATGGTTTAAACTCAAGAAATTCCCCAAAACTTTGAAACAAAAGCCGATGAGAAATGAGCGAAAGAGCTGGTCACTTACCAGATCTGAATGGCTAGCTGCACAGAAGGATAGCAAACAGAAGACCAGAGAATTCTGAGAGACAAAAAGAGATATATTGTGTTAGTGAAAATTTTGTGAAACTTTGAAACCAAAGATACAAAATGAGAAAAAGAATTACTAACCAGATCTGAAAGTTTTATTAGTCTCACAGAAAGATAACAAATATAAGAGAATGCTTCTGGGAGACAGAAAGAGATTGTATTTGTGTGAAGACTCAGCTGAGATAAACAGATATATCTACTTATTGATGTAGCACAAGATGGGCTGTAACACTTCAGGTTTAAATACAGGAGATTCCCCAAAACTTAGAAACAAAAGCCGATAAGAAATGAGCGAAAGACTTGGTCACTTGACAGATCTGAACGACTAGCTGCACAGAAGGATAGCAAACACAAGACTAGAGAATTCTGAGAGACAAAAAGAGATATATTGTGTTAGTGAAAATTTTGTGAAAGCTTTGAAACCAAAGATAAAAAATGAGAAAAAGAATTACTAACCAGATCTGAAAGTTTTATTAGTCCCACAGAAAGATAGCAAATATAAGAGAATGCTTCTGGGAGACAGAAAGAGATTGTATTTGTGTGAAGACTCAATTGAGATAAATAGATATATCTACTTATTGATGTAGCACAAGATGGGCTGTAACACTTCAGGTTTAAATACAGGAAATCCCCCAAAACTTAGAAACAAAAGCCGATAAGAAATGAGCGAAAGACTTGGTCACTTGACAGATTTGAGCGGCTAGCTGCACGGAAGGATATAGCAAACACAAGACCAGAGAATTCTGAGAGACAAAAAGAGATATATTGTGTTAGTGAAAATTTTGTGAAAGCTTTGAAACCAAAGATAAAAAA